AGAGCTTCTTTTCAGGGCATTAGGAGAATTTTCTTGGATGTGAAGTTCTTAGTAACAAGAAAGCAGAAATACTTAACTTGCTTGCCTCCATTCAGAATATTTGTATCTTTTCATTTTGTTCAGGACTACAGCTTCTCCTTAAATGAACATTTTTATTTTATGTTATTTTAAATGTCATATAACTCTTTTCTTACTATTTTTTATTGCTATAGAAAATTCAGACCTCTTCCACTCCCCTCCCTCGAGAAATAGGATTTTCAAAAAACAGTACCAGAAAGTTTGGTTTTGAAAATGTTGAAAAGTTTAGCACTTTTGCCTATTTCTCTATTATTGTCCAAATATTTAAGCAGTTTTAATCACAACTTTTCCATGGCGGCAGCGCTACTATTGGAGATTCATCCCAGATGTGATCTGCAGCTAAAGAGGGGGCTGTGCATGCAGTGCTTCCCTAGAGCTTACATGGCCAGCTGCTGAGGAGCAATGTGCCCACCTACAGCACCTTCTGATATAACCCAGAAAACTGTCCAAAATACCTTGCACTTCTTCAAGGGAAAATGAAATGATATCACACTGCCTGAAGCAATAGAAGAAATTCTGCAGGAGCAGGAACAGGTATTTGAAGGGATGTTATAGGTATTGTTAGCTAAAATGCTCAAGATCAAGTATTGAAATATACTTTCTTCAGAAGAATGAAAAGCAATGGAGCAGTCGAGGTGAAGGTTAGAATATAACAATAAAATGAAAAGAGGGATCATAGGGGATAGTGGAATAAATGAATTTCATAATAGATCCACAAAAAGTGTGCTAACAATGTACAGGCTGTTATCTGCTATTTACACACCACTGTATTGGACTTCAGTGTCAGTAAAGCAGTGGGTTTTGTGAACGAAGGAAACTGAAGCCAACCATCTCTGGGACTTGCAGGTATTAATTCCCAGGCAAGGCCACCAACATTTCTGTGAGTCCATGCCAAACACTGGGCTATATGAAATGGCAGTGCTTTTTGGATACGTGCTTCTCCCATGCATTTATCAACCAGAAATTGTCTGTCTGGAAAACAACAAAAGCAATATGAAAAGTAAGACTGGGACAAAATAAATTAAGGACAGAGCAGGTCAACTCCTTAAATTGTATCACACGTATTTCCTCCTGATGAGTTGAGGAAAATCCAAGAGTGGCAGGAGGTATGGGAGAACAGAAGAAGAGAGATCTGGGATTTAACAGAAACAAGCAGAAAAACAAAACAAAGTCAAAAAGGTGTGGAAGATGTGTGTGATAAGGAAAGAAGCACAGTAGAAAAAAAACTTAGAAAAGCCACAGACTTTTCTTGGATGTTGGACTATGCCTAAAACCTAGATTTTGTCACTGCCTTACAAGGAGCAGGTACATTTGGACTGGTTAAAGTGTTTATTGATGACAGTTCTGAAAGGCTGAAGGGAAAGATGGCATGTAAAAAGCAAACTACTGCAACTCTGGATCTTAGTGCTGCAATATAAACTAATTGGATTGTATTGGCATAAAGTAAATGAAATTCTGTCATAAAAATATAAGATAGTGTAGTGTAAGAGCAGGAATGCATGAGCCACCCTATGGAGATAGATGAATTAGACCAGACAACTTTTTTCGTGCTAATTCTTAGCATCAGCACTTGAACAGTGAAGAATAACAACACAAAGGCACCCTAGCTCTTGGGCTGCCCTTGCCATTAGGCCGTCCAAGCCACGCAAGAAGGGTGTGAGCACTGCTGCTGCAAGGCAGAGGCTGGATCAGAGCTAGGATTTGTCCTGTGGAGCTGAGGAGATGTCTTAACATGTGAGAAGGCAAAGCTTAATACTAACATTCAGTATAGACAGCTATATAAACCTGTTACAAAATCATAGCCAGCCTTGCTGCTGTGTAGACATGCCAGCTTCTATCTGCATAGCTTGCTTCTGCACTCACATTGGGATGGAGAGCTGTTAAAGTGAGAAATGCAAAAATAAGATATATGGTGAGTACTGGAGGAGACTGACTGCTGCTAACACTGCCTGAGGGAGATTTCCACAGGGCTTGCCAGGGAGAGGTCTGCTCAGGTTTTCAAGCTGAAGTGTTGCCTGCAAAAAGGTACAAAGTATGTAGGGCAAATGAAGCAGCAGGACCCCATTCCTGGGGGTGAATCTGTCAAGGTGGGTGCATTTGTACTTTCATTTTGTAATGGCTGCTGCTTCTATGTGGGGTCCTGGCTGTCTTCAACTTTTAAGTGCTGCTATGCTGCATAACATGTGGCTCTAGCAGCAGCTGCCTGCTGTTAGGTGAGATCATGCTGTGCCAGGCCATGAGGAAGCCTGGGGTGGCAAGTTCACATCCCTGTGCCTGCTTCAGGTCCCGTTGCTTCTGGATATCCTGTCTGGCCCAAGCCCTTATAGCCCATGAACAATAGGCAGCCCTGTGGAAAGGCCTAAGTGTTGTCACACATTCATTTCAGTATTCAACATTCAGTCTCGGGCATTTTGGCATTACATCCTTCTAGTTCTTCTTTTCTGTATTGCTGTTCCTTCTCATCTAAAATGAAGGCTGTTCTGTACTTAGTATCAGGGACTCTGGAAGGCAGTTTGGAGAATGCACCATGTGGCATGCTAAAGCCATTGGTGCTTTCTTTTTTAACTTTTAAGGAGATTTCTTTATGCCATCAACCAGCTTGATTCCTCCAGAAATGCCTGGGCTGCCTGCTCTGCAATTCATTTTTGAGCAGCTGTCTTGAGAGGGAAATCTTGGAGTTCCATAAACCATTCTCTAATCACTGTAGTCTTCTCAGACGCTAATCTCTACATCTCATCCTAAACCTTACGGTTGTAGAATCATTAAGTTTGGAAATGACCTTTAAGGTCATCTAGTCCAACCACCAAACCTTCGTGACACAGGAGATGGAGATGACCTCGGAGTCATCATCTCAGTTTAATTCTTTTCCTGATCTGCAGGCAGCAGTTATTCATTATTGTTGTCCAGCCACAGCACGACAGTCCTTACAGGCATCCATACATAGGCAGTGTGCAGAAGAATACTCTTCCACTTGCCATAGATGAAGCAAGCAGGTGGTTTCAGACAGTGAGTGAAACTACAAGTCAGGAAAGCATGTAGAGCAAAACTCTTGCATGGTGGGCACTGGTGAGGTAATTTGTTCATTCAAGGCAGACAACTGAGAGTGTGGTAGGTGGTAACACACTGCAGTCTGGATGCAGAGATCTGCAGAGTGTCTGTTAGGTCAGTGTGTCTTCCTGCCACGGGGATTTGGATGGTAGGTGGTAGGAGGTGTTCCAGAGTGTGGTGACCCTCAGTGAATAGTGAGCATAGCAGCAGCAGCAAGCTCAGGCCATGGCTTGATTTGCAGCATGAAACAGCATTCTATCATAGGTGCAGCCTGATGATTCTTACTCCCTTTTGTCAGCTGTGGTATGAGATATGAAAGGAAGAAGCAGAAGATATAGAAGAGCCCAGTGGAAACAGCAAATCATTAGAAAAGTATAGGAGAGACAGTTTAGGGTTAGATTTCTTGTTTAGATCCAGACTGTTATGTCAGTGGGCTGAAAAGGGAATAGTTCTTTCCTCCCCTTACACTGCAGACTGAAAGCAAGGGAATTTGCCTTTAATGGTCCGCCAGCATTTTAGCAGTGGAAATACCAGTTTGTACAGAACTGTGTTAATACCCTGCAATGTTAAATTTACAGAATGCATCTTTCTAGAGAGAGAAACATCTCTTACATATGCAGTTCTGTTCTAGCTTCTGGCTAGAGGAGTCTGTTTAGCAAGCATGATAACGAATGCAGAGATCACTTCTCCTGAACTGTGGGCAGAATAACTATATACTCACTCTCTGAGTGCTAACTAATTTGTATTAATGTTGCATTCAGCCCTGGAGTCAGTAAACTAGGAGTTCAACCCCTTATATTTATGCACAACCAGGAAGAGAGAAGTAGAGAATGGTCTTCATATAAGAAAGAAAATAAAGAGATTGCCATGGTAAGAAAATGCTGCGGGAGCTGGAATGACTGTGTCATTGAAGCTAGCATTGATCTCACCCTTTTTATTTTTTTTCTTTCTAAAGCTAACTGAAAGTGAGTTGCAAAAGAAAATCAATTCTGAGAATCATTAGGGTTGGAAGGAACCTCTCCTGGGTCGCACAGTCCATCACTCCTATGATTGTTCCTAAACCAGCTCTAACAACTGGGTATCTACTCACATCTTTTATGATGGCTCTACATTTTTCTTCCACTGGTTGCAACCATAATGTTAAAACAAACATTCTTTAAAAAAGAAGCATTGCAATGCAAGCCCTTGGGTACGTTTTAGCTGACAGATAATCTTCAAGGCTCATTTACTTTTAAAAAGTTACAGTCTCCAAGCATCAATGTGTATTTACCTTTGCTGGTGCCAGGAAAATTAGAAATATTACTGCCCCTTTTCTTTGCTGTGAGCAGACCTCTCTCAGCCTCTCTCAGGCCTTCCTACTGATGTTTGTTAAGTGAATGGAAAAATGTCCAGTGTTCTTGAAAGTGTTGGATTATGAGGCAGTGTTCGTAGTTCTTTTCAAGGACAGGGAAACCTTGCTTTGAGACAGAACTGCAAGCTAAACAACAAATATGTACTGGACACAGAGAGGACGCTTCCAGGAAGGTGTCACTGCTTTGTTTTGTGGGAGATTCGGTTTAAATCTCATAGCAGCTGCAGGTTAATTGCTGTAGCATATTGTCACTGCTCTCTTAGGCTGCTTGGTGCCTCCTCCTGTGTGCCACCAGCTTCCTCCCTCACCCTCACCCTATCCTGTTTTGTTTTCAGAAAGCAAGATACATTAAAATGTCTCTCTAGTGCAAAATGCAAAGGTGCTTTATTTGAAAGCTTGGACGAGGAAAGTCCAACTGTCTAGTCTTTACCTTTCATTATGTGCTGCCCTTCTAATACCAGGAGGATATAATATAGTAGTAGGATAATGCTACAGTAGTGTAACTAATATTCTTCCTTTCCAGTGTAAGACCTCTTCTGAACATAGACGAGATGACCATGTCTGCACAAAAGGTAGGACTTCTGGCTGAGTGATATTGCACCCAGAAATGTGCTTTGTGGCAAAAACACCAGTCTTCCCATTCTACTTTATTTATTAAACAGATGAGAGTCTATGCAATTCAGAATGATGTTATGATGGCTGCGTTTCAAAGTGAAATATTGCATTCTAGCCGGGAAATTTCTAATTGGTATTTTGTAATCCAGTGACGTTGCCTCCAAGAATCTTTCCAGGGTTATTATGGATGAGACACATGGTCCACAAACTTGTGGGTTTCCTGAATGGCAAATAAGAAACACCTGCGTAGGTTGCTCTGAAAGTAATACCTCCTACTTATTTCTATAGAAACTGCACCAGCTATGAAGAGCACAGTAACACTATCAGAAAAAGCAAATTCTCATCTGCAAAATTCTGCTTTTTGATAGAGACCACAATGTAGCTACCCTTTTTCATTAGCAATGAATAAGGTCCTGCATGTCATGCTTCTGAAAATCTGCACCACTGGAGGAGACCCACTGTTTCATGGCTGCTATGATGGTATAATTGCTAGGAAAGTGTTGTCCAGCAGCCTGAACAGATAGAAGTCAGAAGGTGCCTTATGTGGACTATACAGCGGCTGTGGTAGGACGCTCCAGCCAAGACTGGCAGTGTGTTCCATGGCGTTCAAACTGGTACGGGACCTGACGTTACCTTGTTGCAAGGGAGGGGTTGTCTTCTTCTCTGTTTTGATGCTGGAAATGTGAGCCTTCAGCTTAGTTAGCATCAGAGTTGATGATTTGTCTGGGTTCCAGGAAATCCAGAAGGATCACCCCTTTTCTATCCCAACAATGCACATCACTTTACCAGCTGAGGGCTGTGTCTTGAATTTTTTAGTTGATGGGAGAATTCATGTGTTGCTACTCCAAGATCTGCTGCTACTTTGGCTTGTAGTGGTAACATCATGTCTCGGCACCAGCAATGATATGATCCAGAAAACTGTTGCCTTCACCTTTGTATTTGTTCAATAGGTCCTGCCAAACTTGCAGACAATGTTCTTTCTGTTTCTGCATGAGCATTCGTGGGCCTCACGAGGCAAAAACTTTGCGATATTTCAACACTGCTACAGTAGTTTCCAACACGCTGAAGATAATGTTCTGCTCTGTACATAGTTGATCATGATCTGATAATTTGCATGGACGTGCTGATCGAGATGCTGTTCATTTCATGGTGTGACAGATGTGCATGGCCGTCCAGAACATGGCTTGTCTCTAACGTTGCACTCGCTACTGCTAACACGCACCACCCACTGCCTCACTGTGCTCACACCCTCAGACCCACTGTGTTGGTCTCCAGAAACGTTCAGCAAGCACTGATGAATGTTGATGGGTGCCATGTTTTCCACATGGAGCAATTCAGTTCCACCCCTTTGCTTCGTCTGCACTTCTGTGTCAGATGCCATTCCACCAGACTGCCCCTCTGCTGCCATCTGTCACATGGCAACCGAATGTAATGGGATACTGGTGGGAAGGTTCAGCCTCTGCTGCCATACCACCAACATCTGCGTCTGATGTACTGGACCAACATCATAAACTACAAAATGTTACTTTCAGAACAGCTTTTCCATTAAGTTTTCTATTAACAATATGTTTGAGTATTCCTGTGCAGAAATTAAACCTTTACACGTAGGCTCAGTTATGGGGATGCAAGTCAGAGAAAGGGGCTGATGAACACTCCTTTCCCAATCTTGGATGTTACCTTTTTAAAGCAGTAGAAGAGTGAACCCAGAGAAGAGTTTTTTGGGAGCTGGCATGCAGCACTGCACAGTGGGCTGTGGATTTGTCCCTTTGCTTATCACTGTCTAGTCTCAGAGATAAAAGATGAAATAATTCAGTAATAACCTAATGCTTTGCACTAATCTGATATCTCACACTTTTATGATTTAGAAAAGAGGCAGTTAAATTATAATATCAAGAAAGCTGCAGCATAAAGCTTTACTTCGATTGCATAATTTTGCAGCAGCAATTACCTCAGCTACAAATTTAATTTAAAAACTCTTTGAAAGCACAGTCTGTGTTATCGCAGAATATACTTGAAATCACTGAAGGATGATTTCATTCCAAGTCTGGAGATAGTATTTAATAGCCAGGAGAGAAACCTGTGCGCAGCCACACCTTCTTACTTATTAATAAGTTCTGCTGTAGCAATTACAAATCCTGACTTCCACAGATTCATTTACACTTGGCCAAATGTGAATTATAAACAATGTTTGCCAACTTAATGCAGTTGCATTCTTTCACCTAGCTGGAAAATAGATGGGAACTATTGAAAATGATCCTAATCATGATGCTATTAAGAAAGATGCAGAGAAAATACTCTGATAAACATCGCAGTGTCTGCCTACCATTATCTTATATTTTCCTTCATGATTCATGGTATCTTAGCAACCATATAGGCCTGATAGCTCTAATGTCTCTAAAAATGATGCACTTGGAAATCTATCACTTAAGGTCTGCTGCTCAAATAACGACAGTCTTTTCTTTGATGGCAGGTTTCAAGCCAAATAAATACACAAGAATTAGAGCAGCTTTCTTTGGCTGGATCTTCATTTTTGCACCGTTATTCAAACTGGGCAAGGAAAGGATTTTGTAATCCAGGCTTAATCTGTATAGATTTTGGATGTGCATATATATATTAATTAACTATATGGATTCAAAAGAATGTCAGAAGAGCGCTGGGTTATTGATTGACAGAGAGTTGTCTTTGTGCATTTATCAGCGGGGGTGAAAATGTGAGTCTCCTATCAGGACAAGGAAAAAGTTATGGATTTATCGTGTGTGTGAGACTCCGGGCATCCCCCTGTTTGCTGTAGAGCTATTAACTGCTTGATTGCTACTGACCAGACCTGATTGAAGAGGTAATCTGTTGACTGTATGAATACCCTTGATATTAAGAGTGGGCTTCCCAGCTTGTGCCATATGTACGACAGGCAGTTCACTTCAGATGCTTTTAGAAGATGTGTTCTGGCCTGTGACTTTCCCTCAGAGGAGGACTGGCTGCTGGGGTGGGAGTGCTGCTGAGCCAAGCCTGAATTGCCATCTTTGGGAGAGGACAGAGCAGGAGATATGCACCTGTGTACAGGTTACCAGCACTGCGTCACAGGGAACTCCATCACCTCTCATAAAGGCGTCAGCACCTGGGGAGATTGTGTCCGAAACCCCCAAACCTGAGAAACAGAACCAGCTGCATTTCTGAATTGTTTCCTCTTTGCACTATGAATATTATCCCGATAAAAACTGTTGAATCAGATGTTTTGCAATTCTTCAGAACAGAGGATTGAATGTCGATGATGTTTGCTAACTGCCGCAGGCATAATTCTATTAGATGCTGAGCAGACCACATTTACATTTAAAAATACAAGTAATCAATGTATGTTAATGTATGCCCTTCATGCATTTTGTGCCAAAGCATTTTTGTAGCTTTTCAAAATGGTCATGCTTTTGCGGGAAAAAACCTTTCAGAAACGCATCAGCAACACTGGCTGTTGGTTTAGCTTGTTTTTCTGAGGTATCAGTAAGCACACACAAGGAGAGGCACAAGTGGCACATGTGAGCACAGCATGCAGGCCAGCACACAGCCATGCAGATATTCCCAACAAGCGTTTACCTTCTCTTGTTGTTAAGCCTTGGGAGTGCTTATGCTTTGCAAATCTGATTAGCAAAATGTTCACGATCGTAATTCCAAAACAAAGTGACACCTGCTGTGATCCTGTTAGTGAAATTTGACACGAGTCTGTGTTACTTTCAGGTACGTTGGCAGATGATGACATTACTGCAGGAGAAGGTAAGTTGCGAATCCATGAGAACTCATAGCAGCTGTTTGCATTATAACCTCAGCATCAGTGTGAAGTAAGTGAAGAGCACTAGAATGATTACCCTTCGAAAGATATGTCATCTATGTCTTGTTTAACCCTGAGTGGGTTGGGGTTACAGCACCTGAGGATGGTGTGTGGGTCACTCTCACCCATTCTTGCCAGAACTTATTTTGCAGCATCTCTATGAGTCGTAATTCCATGAGAATTATGAAACTCAGTGTGCTGTCAATGTGCTGTATGAAAGAAATTGCTGCAGGCTTTGCCTGAGCTCACTGCTGTGCCTGTGTATCTCAGTTGTTTCTCTCCCTTTTAGAGCTTACTGGCATGTTCATAATGGATAGTGCTCCATTCTTCCTTGGCTAGAAACACACAGGTCCCTTTTGGTGAAGAAATTGTGACTTTGGACCTCAAGTCAAAACCTGCTTTGTTACAAACCATGGGAAGTACAGTCTGTGAGTGTTGATCCCAGTTAATCTGGTGTTTGCTGCCCACCTCTCTGTGTCGTGATCCATATGGAGCAGCACTGGGTGACCATGCACTGCGCCGGACTTTCGGATGTTGAGAAATGTCCTGAAGGCAGATTGTTTGACAAAATGTTTGAAAAAAACTTCCCTGATCAGAGCCATTGTGATCTTGATGGTCCTAAAGCCCTGAAAAAGGAGGCGAGGCTTGGCAGAGCATCTAAGACTACATATGGTTTACAAAATGCCTCAAAAAAGCTTGGAATGGGCCTGTATCAGACTTTAGCCCTTCCTGACTGTACTTCCAGAGTTTCTACCATTTTTTTGAGGCCTCTTTATATTTTATTCTCAAAAACTCTGCTAACAAAGCCACCTTTGTTGAGCTATTATGTATTGACATCCAAAGAACATTTTGAATTGTACATGAAGGAAGGCTAATTCTGCACATGGTTCCTGGAATATTTTGGCTATGATGTGATTTTGATGCAAAGTTTGGAAACTGTGCTACAAGGTGCCTTTTTAAAAAAAAAAACAAAAAAAAACCCCAGGCACACTGTCAGAAATTCATCAGCAGTTCCTCCTGAGTAATGTACTTTTCCAGAGACAAGTGAAAAAATGTCAAAACCAAATAAAGAATAGCTGTGTTATAGGAGCTATTCGAGATCCAATTTAGCCTTTCTTATAAGTTTCCCTTCCAGTAAGCTGCTCTTCTCATGTTTTCTTCCAGTAAATGAGATGTGCATAACTCAATCGTATTAGAGAATTGATCCCTTTCAAAAACATGCCAACAAACAAACAAACAGAAACTTCTGAATTGCAAAAGAGGAAAAAATAAAGGGTGCCAGTTTCCTAACCCTTTGGCTCACGTTCCTGGCTTGTCCAGCTCTCCCTCCATTCGCAGGAGGATCTGCAGAGTTACACTGATAAGAATTCAGGTCACAGGAGATTTCTAGTAATGGTCTAGATTAAATCCATCCATACATTCATCTTTCTGTACACTAGATGCGAGTCTTGGATATAAAAGCTGCCGATCCCCAATTTTTCATTTCTGAATAAACCATTTGGAAGGATTTTCCTCTTTCTTCCACTGGCGTATACTGGAAGTAACTTCTTTCAAGCAAATAATATTATGCTGGCAGTTACAGCGGCAAGAGGAGCAATAGGGCAGAGACAGAGTTTTGTGATGTGTTATATTTTAAAATGACACATTTGTCTGGTATGGGGTGGCTGAAATGCAGATTCAAGACTGAATAGAAATATTTCTGCATTAAATTCAGTATTTCTGCCACAAATCTTCTGTTGGTATAAGCAGATGAAGCACTCCTGATTTCAACAGCCCCCTGAGGCGCTGACCCACGGTATTTATTTCTAATCCGTTCTGGGCTTTGTGACCTTGCTTGGTTCATTTGCCTGTTACGTGCAAATACTCCTTGCAGATTCTACAGCAGGGGTGAAGCCAAGCTCTGGCAGGTCAGAAAGTGTGCTGTGAGCAAGTGTGCTTTACTGAAGGGGAAAGGAAAAACACAGCTTTTGTACAGTATGGTCCATTGCCACTTCCAATGGGGTTAATAGGGCAACTACAGGCAAATGGCATGGCAGGAGAGGAATTAATGATTTGGTTGTGTCTCATAAACTGCTTTAGGAATCTGATGGTATTTTTGGTTGTAACAAAATATTTACATAGGCTGCTCTGAAAGTAATGCTTCCTATTTATTTCCATGGAAATTACTACAAAGAGCACTGTAGCGCTAGTTGGCAGGGCAAGTTCTCAGCTACAAACTGCTCTTTTTCAACATAGCCACCACCATGAGCTGTGCATTTTTACCAGTGATAAATGCCTACGTATTGCACTCATACAAATCTACATGGCAGTGGAGGTGCCCTACTGTTGCTGTTGCAGCTGTTGAAATGCACCACCCACCACTTCATTGCGCTCACACAGCTATTTGGTCTCCAGAAAGATTCAGCCAGCACTGGTGAGTGGTGGGGGGCTGGCAGTGGAGTGAGGCCAGCTCCTCAGGAGGATTGAAATGTTGTGGGCATTGTGACCTGGTAACCCTCCTGTTCAGAAACCCTCTGCCACTGTGATCCTTTAGAACTGAGACATAAGGCTGAGGAGTTTTCCAGTTAGTTGTTTTAAAGGAGACTGATGTGTAGCAGTGCCTAGAAGTTGGCTGCCCAGTTCGTGAATGGTTTCTGCTGCTAGCGCTATTTCAGAACAGCACTTTTCTGACTGCATAGGAGGTGCAAGCTCAGAGCCACTCACGTAAGCTTTGCCTTAGGGGTATCAGCAGTAGTAGAGTCTCTAATGAAAAAAAAGCACCTGAAACAACAACAAGAGAAATGAGGAAAATGAAGATTTTCAGACAACATGTCTTTTATCTGTGCCTCTGCTGGGTGAGGTGAGTGCTTCTGTTCTGTGTTATAGCTGAAGTCACAGCTATATGCAGAGGGGGTGCTGGGAGGCTGTTCTAATTAAAACTGGCTCTGACTTATGAAATTCAGGATGCTGGGAGGAAGCTGTCCAGGATGATTAAAACACTATCTGAATGTTGACACAGATCAGTTTGAGATCCATTTCTAAGCCTTTCTTTAGTTGTGATATTGTCTGTGGTTTTTGTAGCTGCTGTTTGTTTGCTGGGTTTCTTTTTTTCTCCAGCATTGGAAACCACATTGAATATTTTCTCTTCAGTGAAAGATCAGGCTGACCGCTGCAGGTGCTACAATATAAAATACAATCTGTTGCCAGCAGATTTTTCTTTTTCTTTCTTTTCCCAGGAAGAAGCCCATATCCTCCTTGAGCCCTCCGCCTGGTTGTGTGCAATTCTGTAGCAATTCATTTCTTCATGAATAGTAAGAAGAAACATAAGAGAAGTGCTAGAATTGGGCTGGCTTTTTTTGTCTCACTTGCATGGTTTGAAGCACTTCTCAGCCTTCTCATCCCCATAGCAGCAGGCAGAATGGCAGTCCTATATCCCATCCTGCTGGCTGCTTGTAACACCCTCACTGACCTCTGCTTTCCTCTTCCCCGTTCCTTCACCTGCTGGCATTGTGAGATGTAAGGCGTGCTTCTTCAGGAGTGCAGCTTGGACACTGTGCTGAGTGTGTTTTCCATCTTCCTCCCACCCACCACATCTCAGTTAATTCTGCAGCCAGCCTTATTTTTCCTTTTCCCTGTGTCCTGTTACTTGCCTCAGCAGTATCTCAGGTAGAATTTCAGACAGAATTTCAGGTGGTCAGGCAGGTTAACTTCAGCTGAGAATCTTGAAGGACAAATAGTAGACGCAGCACCAAACCTGCTACTTATGTCAGTATGTCAGTATAGACTGGAGCTGGAGTTCAGCAACAAAATTCATCTTAAGCATTGTCTTTAAGTCAAGACTAAGTCGTAGGTTTAAATGGCAAATAATTGTTCAACAACTACGTGAGATTTTATTTGCTGTGATGAATCACTTGGAAAATTTCACTAGTCTCTGATGCCAGAGGGCACATTCACATTTGTCAGCAGATCAGTAAATATTTATGTGAGATGCACAAAGTGGCTATAAGCTCCAATTTTTTGGAAATGGCAGATCTTTACCAATAGGTGTGAAGCTTCCTGGTCCCACGCAGCCTCTGCACCTCTATCTCATGAAAGTTTCAACTCAGAATTTGAAAGCTTCTGTGTTTAATTAAACTTTTCATGAGTTCTACTCTGTGTATCAAGTGCAGCATTTTGCTGCAAACCTGTCTCTAGCAGCAGTCTCCTTTCTGACAGTAAATCTGGCTCAGAAGTTCCAGCTCTGTCCCTTTCATTCTGCCCCTCTCTGCAGATGGTAACCCCAACCCTTTTGCCATTTTTTGGTTTTGCAGAACCACTGAAATGATCTGGACTAAAAAAATCCAACATGACCCAACTCTCAAAGCACCCCTAAGACTTCTTTCTTTATTTATTATTTTTATGTAGTTTGCTGATGTGCAACTCCCAAATCACTGCAATGATGCCGACTTCGTTCAAATTTGAAATGAATTAATTAATAATTTGCCAAAAATGAGGCGAGACTTCACTTTTTCTGGCTCCTCCTTCCCTTCTCTCCTCCCAGGAAAAGACTGTGTGAATAGCTGACTCGTGTTCAGCTTTGATGTCATATTGTTTGGGTAACCTCCTGAAGCTTCAGAGGCACTCTTCGGCAGAGCAGCACAGCCAGCCAGCAGATGGGGAGGAGCGCTTGGATTTCTGTGAAACAAATGTGTTTTGTTATGCCAAGGGATGGCATTCAAGCAGATAAATAATACGCATACTGCACGCGAAGATGTGGAAGTGGAAACGTACAGAACTAGCGCTGGAGTCAGTGCTCCCTGCGAGGGAGCCTGCAACACACTGCAGTCCGCTTTGCTGAGCGCACCAGTGCCAACCAGGAGCTGATGGCGCAGCTGAGATCAAGAAGTGTTTTAATCTCTTAATAAATTTCACAGCTAGATGGCTTTTTCATTTGTACACTGTAGACAGAGCAGTTTTTGCATCCCTTGCTTTACTGTTGACTTATTCAGGAATTCCTGAAGAATGGCAAATACTTTGCAGTAGTTTTATTTTGGATGGAATCTGAATGAAATTCCTTGAGAAACTCAGAAGTTTCTGGAAGCCAGATTTTCTTGTGGTTTGGAAGGCTTTCTGTCACTTTGTGCTACGTTGGTGTAACCAGTATACATGAGTTCTAGTATGTGCACAGTGCTGAGATGAAACTCTTTCCAAACCCTCTCTGAGGCTGTCTGGTCAGGGGAGGTTCAGGTTGGTTACTGGGGAAGATGTCTTCTCAGAAAGAGTGGTGATGCACTGGCACAGACTGCTGGTGGTGAGTGGTGGGGTCACTGTCCCTGGAGGTGTTCAAGAAAATGGACATGTGACACTGAGCAACATGGTTCAGCGGGCATGTGGGGATGAGTTGATGGTTGGACTAGATGATATGAGAGGTCTTTTCCAGTCCTAATGATTCTATCATTCTCTGGTCCTCTTTATCCAAACCTGTCTCCTGTCTGAGCAATGGGGACAACTGGGAATATTCCACAGCAGTTTCCACTGGACATAGAGTGTGTTCCTGCCCCACAAGGAGGGAGAGATTAGATTCAGTGAGAGCAAAAAGCACAAACTGTCAGTTGCCATGAGAGGAACACTAAAAGGTCTAATTTAATCCATCTCCTCCTGTTGGTGCGCTTCGTCCCAGAAAGCTTCCTTCTGTTCACCTGTGTGGAATAAAACACTTGGAGACAGCAATTACTGGGAGATGATAAATTAGATTGTGCCTGCCACTTGGGAAAGAATGTTTCCCAACTAACGAGCCTCTGCTTCGGGGACGTTTGCAAAGCTGTGTGCTCCAGTGGCTCTGACACACTCCTGGTTATGGTCGCACACGGCTCGGCACTGCGTTCTAGACAGCTGAGCATGGAACTCTGTTGCTTTTGGGAGAGGCTGGCTAATTAATTCCTAATTTATTAGGATTTTGTGATCAGTGACAACACTTAATTGGCTTAAATGTGACCTTAGTTTTAATGGTACTTGTTACTGTCGCGACCTCAATGTCTTCTGCATCTCATGGGCTGCGGGGCAACCAAGGCAGGGAGCTTACCTTCCTATGCACAGGCAGAGTGACTGTAGTGGCTTTGGAAAACAGGAGACACCATTTATTTGTTACTCTTATTCACAGGAATTTTCCCCCTTTTATTCTCACTGGATATATGTATTTTTAAAAAGATGCAATTTAAACCATGCAGCATTTAATTTCCCATCTACTAGGTCCTCAATCTATTGTATTTTTTAGTGCTGTTACTTTGTAAATGGTTACCAAGTGAATAACTGCTCTCATAAATAGTCACAGCAAGAAATTACTTTAGCTTCCTATGCTAATAGACAGTGGATCTTATTAGTAGGGCTTATTAATTGGTTTGGTATCTTATTTAGTTAAAATTGGTGTGGCAGTGAGTGGAAAAATAAATCCTCGTTAGGCCAGTGGGTTCCTTATTGTATGCCCTTGTATGTATCATATTCAGAGAACTTTAGAAACAGTGGGTAAGGCTCCAAACACTGGTGACAGTTTCTCAGGTACTATATAGATTTTTAAAGGGGGAGAATAAGAACCAGCATTAGAGTTATACTTCAGATGTGCATGTAACCAGCTCCCGGTCCTGTATGTAAATAGCATGGTTTGATCAGCTTTGCCAAAACAGCCTATTTGCTTCTGCAGAATGCTTCCAGAGCTGGCTGCTCATGTCCCGGGGTGGCACAGTGAGCCCATGTGTGCTGTGCATTGCTGTGGGTGTTGGTGGGAGCTGGGAGTGCTGTAGTGTGTGGGTACTGCAAGCAGTGTTTTGTTTGCCAACAGAACTGTGGTGTCTGTCAGAAAGCACCCCTCCACTCTTCAAGTTAAGATGCTCCTTGTGTCCAGAGTTATCTGCATCTCTGATAAATCAGTCCTGACTTGTTTTTCCACTTTTTTTTTTCTTCTTTCTTTTTTCCCTCTCCTTTAAAAAAAATAACAAAAGTGCTAAATGTGCAGTTATGCTGCAGCGTCAGCCAAAAGCATAATTAATGCTGCAAACATAATATGATTTTAAAAGATTATCTCTGGTACTGACAAAATATCAGCAAGTCAGTCTGTACTGAGGTACAAAATCCATACCTTCAACGTATCTGGGGTCTTTGGGTTATGTCAGCGCACGTCTTTTTGTACCTGTTCTTATTGGTGTGGTTTCGTTGTTGTTGTTGGATTGTGTTGGTTTTTTCTTTTTCTTTTTTGATATAAAAATAATATTTTACTTTTATTTTTAAAATAGCAGCACTTCCGTTTCTGTATTCTCCTCCTCTTGCTGCTCAGCTCCCATTGGTTCCTGTACAGAGACACTCACAGGCCTGACCTTGGTTGGAGAACAAATCTCTCCTAATCTCGCCTCGCCTCTCATCACCCAAGTTTCAGCCTGGGAGGGCTTTGGGTAGACCTGTGGAGAATGTGTCATGGGTTTACTTAGTCTGTGTGATGCTTTGGAGAGGACAGTCAGCAGGAGATTGCAGTCTGTGTCCTGTGAGATGATGGTAGAGCTTGAGCATGCATGAAAAATCCAGCGCCTTTGGGTTTTTAACTGTTGTTTCATGAGAGAGGCAATGTTCTGGGTGGCAGTGGACAGAAAGTAAAGTTAAAAAAAAAAGCAAAAAAAAAAAGCTTCTGGTCTGATGAAAACATCTCTTAACCTTGATCAAATGGGATCATTTGATACGTGCCCTGCTGAACCCAGAATCTTTTGTACCAGCAAGAGGGGCCACCAAGGGCAGAAAACAACAGACTTGTAACAAAGGGAGTGCTCCTTCGTGTCAGCACTGCTCAAAGGTCGCACTGTTTCTGTGCAGAAAGGCTTACAGTCTCACTAAGACCTTTGCTAACTCTTCATTCCTATGTGAAGACACAACTCTGAACATGTGAAATTGTTGAACTTCTAGCAGTAAGAAAGATACAGACAGTTTATTACATTCCGTGCTTGATTCCTGATTGGAACGAAGTGGTGGGATCCTAATGGATATGAAGCCCTCAGTCTCTTTCACTCCACAATTCTCCTCACGCTGGAGTTTGAAAGAAATTTTGTTTGTCAGCTTTTGAATCTGTGGTTTGCAGCTGTAGCAAAACATTTGGAGAGAAAACCTATTTTCTAAAATCTACTTAGGGTAAAATGGCCTTTTTTTATTGTTTACTTCCTGCATTTGAAAGAAGTTTTGTTAAAGCCCAGCTTCTGCACCTGCGTTCCTCCAGAAAACTGTCTCTTCAAATTCTCCAGACTGATTTGTCATTTTCTTACGTGCCAGAACCGGTTGTATCTCTTATTGCATTACACTGCTGACATCGGGTAATGCCTCATGACAGATGCGGCTGCACATCACTGCACTGAGGAGCTGCAGGAGGAGCGGAGGCCCAGCTCCAGGGAAGGGCTGATATCTCCTGCACGAGTTGTACTTACAGAACTTTAAGTCCAGTGGGCAGTCGTGTTTGTTATCTTTCTCTTTCTTCTTCTTCTCTCTTTTTTTTTTTTAATACAAGTGTGAAGGAAGATCAAAGTCTGGGAAAGGCTGAGTGATAGGCATCTTTCTGCTTGCTTTTCTCTCTGTGCACATATCTACCTCATCTCTCAGCTTCCCGCCGGTGAGGGCTGAACAGAAGGTCTCCTTGAAATCCACGTTGTGTGTTGACCAGCAGCAGTCTTCAGAATTCAGTCCAAGTTCCTCTCGGCCTTTGCTGGCCTGATTTAATCAAAGCAGAGGGCACCTGCTCGTATTGCCAGATGAAAGATTTAGACAGAAAACTTGTTCTGGACAAAAGGGTTTCCATGTCAGCCAAAATTCTCTCGCTTTTGTTTTTTGGGTGTTGTGCTTTAGATAAAAAGGGTGAAGTAACGCTTCTGCCTTGTGAAGGCCCTGCAAAACGGAATGGGTACAGTGTCATCTAGGGATTTCATAGCAAATAGGGTGTTCTGGGACCTGCACCAACAGAAATAAACGTGGCCTTGTGGAAAAAAATTATTTAGAAAAACACCGGCCTTCATTTAAATACCTCACATAGTGGAAAATGTACAGTATTGCTCCCTTTATAATTTAGTGGATTAATTCCCTCCTAGTTAACAGTTCTTTAGTTCTACTTTGGCAATAACGAATTTCAGTCTTCACCCCATGATCCTCATATCTGTAAAAGCACATAGCAAAAATCCCCTTGTTGGACATGATGACTAAACTTGTGGTTTACATGGTCTGTAGTACCATTAGCATTGCTTTTTCTCCTGTCTTCTACAGCAGGAGTCGAACAAGACACAGAAGGCATGTGCCCTCCCAGGTGTGTGTACTGTGAGTGGCACAGCACTGCTCAGGGTGCTTTCCATCCTTTCCAGCCCCACTGGCCATTGTGCATTTCAGCTTCTCGTCTCTTACTGTTGTGCATGCTCTCCGTTCCATGACATGTTCAGTAACTGTGATAGCCTGACATTCTGGAGCTGAGTTAGCTTTTGCCATTTCATACCCTCCTTCAAATATGCAGTACCCTAGAAGGATAATTGTTCTTATGTTTCCATTTCTTATGTTCTGTTTTCCTATTTTATTTCTCTCCTATTGCTGTGATGGTTTTCCTTTCTGGCTCTTAACTTAAGAAAATGCTCTATAATTGCTTTGATTTTATAGCACTTAAAGGATACTGATGCACTCAGAAAAAGAATAAAGCAAAGCAACCCAAACCTAAACACCCCCCTGGCTCTCTCCAGCCATGCACACCTATTTACCTTCCAAGGGAGTTTCTTACAAGCCTGCAGGAGCTGTAGGGAGACACAGAGCTCAGCGGGGCATGGCCAACAGGAGGCTCACGCAGACGTAGAGGGACTGCTCAAGCTGAGCAACATGTCATAACTGGATTTCATTATGTTCTCACAGTTCTCTTATAGCTGAAA